TTCTGATCGATGTTTATGGATGTATGTCCAATTTCAGTGTACACACCTGCACACGTGAACAGGTAGTGAGGTACACTAAGGAGGTACACGATACCAAATTTTAAACGCTGAGATATATTGGGCTATACACAAATATGACGAAACTATAAAAAATAATATTATTAAAAAGGGACGCAAAAAAAATATTTGCGAAGATAAAAAAAAAAAATTTACCTCAGCCTTTCTCCGCTTCTCATAAGCTCCCCGCTTAGGTATAGGTGGCCTTGGCTCAGCTGTTGTTGGTTGTGTCAATGGAATGTCAGATACCGCATTTGGACGGAGTTTTGGCTTCATGGTAGGACAGCCCTCGAGATTCTTCATAATTTCTGGGTCACGATCGTAACATGCATTTGTAGAGTGGGCGGAACAAAGTCTATGACCAGTGCTTGGTAGGAAGTCCCATCTCTTACAATAGTCTGTCCACGACTTCCTGGTTTGCGGGTTACTCGGAAAACGGAAAAAACTAATTAAATGTCCTTGTTATACCTATTGTTGCATCCACTGGCAGCACACAGAACCATTTTTAATCACTGTCATGGGTTTTGTTGGAAGATATTCGAAAATGAAATTGCGCTAATTATGCCTATACACCCGTCAGTCAAATATGATTGATGAAACCACTGACGTCACAGCCTCGTTCTGAGTGACTTCCGGGATTGAAATATGCATAATTAGTATGTCGACAGATCGATACATTTAAATTCATATTTTATCCATTTAAACGATAATTATATTGCTTTCGATGTTTTTTGGGGGGTAATTATGTATAAATAAATATTTAAAAAAAAAAAAAAAAAAAAAAAAAAAACCATGTCACATCTCCTTTAACGAAGGTTTGAAATATATTAGTAGTTGATAATTGCTGTTATAAAACTTAGATATATGAATGCCCATATATGATTTTAACAATTATGTGAAAAATTACAGATGATTTAACAGTGGTAAAATTTAAGCTGGAGAAGTTAACTTGCTACGGATAAATAGCAGAAATTTTTCTTCCAGCTAGGCAAGTAGTTTTGAAAAATCACACAAATCAATCACACTATTTAAGGTGTACGAAAACAGAACTTTTTCTGGAAAAAATTACACAAATTTTTCAAAATTTCTCTGAAAGAATGACCATAACTCACATGAGTATTTTGTTTTCATTTACAAAGTCATTTAAAAATGTCCGAAGTTTGCTATAGTTTTTATCTTAGTTCTAAAGCCCTAAAAGAGGGTAGGAATGCCCTTTACCGTCAGGTATCAAACGGTCATTTTCGGCTACTGTTAACGTAAAATTGGTTACAATTTTATCGTGATTCGTCAAAATTTCTTATCGTGATTCGTCACAGTCTCAAATATTAACCGTTACAGTTATTTTTGGAAAGAATTTAACGTGACTCGTCAAAATCAGTCGATTTTTTATCATCAAAAAAAGAAATGTACTTTTTATCGCCATGCACCAAAAATTACCGTTAACGTGAAGATTTGTTTTATCATTATTCGTCATGAAGGTACTACCATTACGACCCTCCTAAATCTATTTATCTGAAATGTTTTGTTATGTTATATTAAACTTGTACAAATTATAAACAATTTTCAAAATTTTAAGGTCAGAATTTTATTGTGTGAACCACCAAATTTAACGATGGATCAATTGGTTTCAGTGACAGATTTCCTCTCACAAAAATTTTATAACAAGTTTAACTGTTTCAAATGAGGGATTTTTGTTCATCAGTCCAAACTCATTAAACAAAAGAAAACAAGATGTAATAGTTATGTGCAATGTATCCCTTTGCATTTGCATCTTTAAAATAAAAATAAAGTAACTAGGAACTGGTAGCAAGACCTATTTTTTTATTTGCAAAAATTATTGAATGTTCATTTGATATCAATAAAACCAAATGAAGTGTAAATGTCAATCATTAAGCAACCCAACAAAAAGTTACTAAATAATGAAACATACTTTTCAAATAATAACAAAAGTATACATATTTGAACTTAAGAAAAATCTCGTCTTTATCCATTTCCATTGTCAATTCTAAACGTAGAATGACAGGGAAATATTCATTTGTTTGCATGTATAGTTATTTTCATAAATACTCATTTATCTAAAGAAAAAGCAAAACGTAAGCGTTTTATAATTTTAACTTTCGTTTTTTTACCCTAACTTTAGATTTTCGAACATAAACCATTCTGGAGTTTTTCCTAAACGATGTGCCATTGTCTCCTCTACAACACCTTTATGGTCGTTGCCGTCACAATCTCTATAAATTGGTCCAAATTTAACTTAAAGTGTCTTATTCACTAAATCTCATTTTGTCAATTCAATTTCAGTTCTTTTTTACACCTCTACAACACCTATGTAGTCGTTGCCCGTCACAATCTCTATAAATTGATCCAAAAATCAACTTAAATTGTCGTATCCCCTAATTTCATTTTTTAATTTTAGTTTTTTTAGCCTAACTTCAGATTTTCGAACATAAACCACTCTGAAGGTTTACCTAAACGATGCGCTTATGTCTCCTCTGCAACACCTATATAGTCGTTGCCCGTTACAATCTCTATAAATTAGTTCAAAATTAACTTAAACTGCCCTACCCTCCTTATTTTATTTTGTCAATTTCAGTTTTGTTTAGCCTTACTGCAGATTTTCGAACATAAACCACTCTGGAATTTTTTTCTAAACGTTGCGCCAATGTCTCCTCTACAACACCTATGTAGTCGTTGCCCGTCACAATCTCTATAAGTTGATCCAAAAATTAAATAAAATGTTCTTACCCCTTAATTTCTTTTTTTTTAATTTTAGTTTTTTTTTAGCCTAACTTCAGATTTTCGAACAAAAACCACTCTGGAGTTTTTCCTAAACGTTGCGCCAATGTCTCCTCTACACCACCTATATAGTTGTTGCCCGTCACAATCTCTATAAATTGGTCCAAAATTAACTTTGTGCCCTACCCCCCTAATTTCATTTTGTGAAATAGTTTTTTAACCCTTTTTTCAGATTTTCGAACATAAACCACTCTAGAGATTTTCCTTAACAATGTGCATATGTATCCTCTACAACACCTTTATAGTGGTTGCCCGTCACAATCTCTATAAATTAGTCCAAAATTAACTCAAACTGCCCCACCCCCCTTATTTTATTTTGTCAATTTCAGTTTTGTTTAGCCTTACTGCAGATTTTCGAACATAAACCACTCTGGAGTTTTTTTTCTAAACGTTGCGCCAATGTCTCCTCTACAACACCTATGTAGTCGTTGCCCGTCACAATCTCTATGAATTGATCCAAAAATTAAATAAAATTGTCTTACCCCTTAATTTCATTTTTTTAATTTTAGTTTTTTTTAGCCTAACTTCAGATTTTAGAACAAAAACCACACTGGAGATTTTTCTAAACGTTGCGCCAATGTCTCCTCTGCAACACCTATGTAGTTGTTGCCCGTCACAATCTCTATAAATTGGTCCAAAATTAACTTAGCATCCTACCCCCCCCCCCTCCCCCAAAAAAAATTTTTTTTTTTATTAATTTACCGCCGCTAATTTCATTTTGTCAATTTCAGTTTTTTAACCTTTCTTCAGATTTTCGAACATGAACCACTCTGGAGTTTTTTCTAAACGATGTGCCAATGTCTTTTCTACAATACCTATGTAGTCGTTGTCCGTCACAATCTCTATAAAATCGTCCAAAATCAACTTAAACTGCCCTAACCCCTTATCTTATTTTTTTTTATTTTAGTTTTTTCAGCCTAACTTCAGATTTTCGAACATACACAATTTAAAGGTTTTCCTAAACGATGCGCTAATGTCTCCTCTGTAACACCTATATAGTTGTTGCCCGTCACAATCTCTATAAATTTGTCCAAAATTAGCTTAGTGCCCTACTCCCCTAAATTCATTTTGTCAAATAGTTTTTTAACCCTAACTTCAGATTTTCGAACATAAACCAATCTGTAGTTTTTCCTAAACGATGCGCAAATGTCTCCTCTACAACACCTATATAGAGGCTGCCCGTAACAATCTCTTTAAATTAGTCCAAAATTAACTTAAATTGCCCTACCCCCTTAATCTCATTTGGTCATATTCTGTTTTTTACCCGTATCTTCTGATTTTGGAACATATACAATTCTTGAGTTTTTCCTAAACAGTAAACCTATGTCTCCCCTGCATCACCTTTATAGTCGTTGCCCGTCACAATCTCTATAAGTTGGTCCGAAATAAACTAATACATATATATATAATTGTTCGCTAGGTCTCTGTAATTGTTCGCTAGCTCGAAAAATACGTGATTGTCTACTTTGAAATTGTGGTTTTTAGTTATACATCATAATTGTTTGCTAGCTAATTGTTCGCTAGCTTCAGTCAAGTTACTTTGGCGGGGGTTTTACTGCCGGTCGGAGGAAGACCAATTGTGCCATATTTCTATTCCTTATTCAGAATCTGGTGCTATAGATATGAAGTATTAACATTACTTGGTTTAGACATACAAATTTGAGATAATCATCTTTTAATTCAAATTAGACTATTGTTCAGATAAATTAATTAACACAATGTTTAAGAGTATTTGTTATTTTGAAATAGATATGAAGGATTAATAGATAATCTTAAACCATTTGTTAATTCTTTTATCTAAACAATAATTTTATTTTATTAGAAGATGATTGACTCGAAGTTGTCTGTTCAAAGCCTGGGCAAACCAATTTGTTTTAACCTAATTATGTACATCCGGTCACTTGTTGTAAGACAAGGTCAAATCAAGGCTTATTTCGATCTATGCAAATCATTTCGCGGAATTATTAGCCATGAAGACGATAAAAACGACAATAAACCAAAAAGAGTATTAAATTCAAGTTCATCGAAGGATATAATTTGAATAAAAAACCAAATCATCAATTTATAAGTATATGCAATTTTATATCATGCGCACAAGTTTCAATAAATTAGTGTCAAAGGATTCATTTTTACAAAGAACGATAACCGAAGCACATTTTTTTGAGTTCAAGATGTAGATTTCCGAAAGTTCGACTAGAACCAAGTAAGTTTCAGCAATATGCATCCGTTTCTACTTGTCTAACTCGTTGTATTCACCAAACAGTAGCCGGCCAACTCTTCCCCAGTCGATACATAAAGTCAAAATGTACCAAAATAGCAAAAACGTAATATAATTTAACAACTTAATATAATATGATTTTACGGAATAAGTTGGTGATAGGAAATTATTTATAGTCGTTTCAATTTTTTCAAACAATAAGGGTCATTTATGACATTTGTATAGAAACATTTTCTTTCGGTACACAATGCTAATAATATTTTGTTCTATTTGTTCTGATTGTTTCTGTCATTGTGGTGTTTACCTTGTTTACTTTTCAAAACGAAAGTATATATTTTGCCCAAATATCTAATATTGTTCAATAAAGAACCTTGTAATGGATAGTTTATTATTGTAAATATGGATACGTTTGAACAATAACATTTTTTTTAATTCATTGTATCTGTAATGAATTTACTACCTATCAATTGCAATAGATTATTGAACGGTAGATAAAAAAAAAAACTAGTTCATACGCCATTTAAATCGACCAATGTTTAAATGTTTAAATTGTGTAGAATGTTATTGACCTTCAAATTCTGATAAAAATAACTACCAATAACATTCTTATGACACACGACAACTTTATTTTTATTTTCATTTATATGCAGGTAAGTTGTTTAGGATTCTCCGCATGAATAGAATGGTAGTTTTATTTCCTGTTAAAACGGTTTCCCGAAATTTAAAATAGCGGTGATCTCGCCATAATTTAGCTTCCAGAATGTTCTTTTAGAAGAGTAGTACGTACAGGATGATAATTTTCATTTTGTTTTTGCATACTGTTTTCATAGTTTCAAAATATTCCAGGAGTTAATAAATAGAAAAAACAAATATGTTTTTGATAGCGAAATATTGTCTTTCCTGCAAGCTTATAACAATGACATGATAACGTCACTGTTTTGTATTGATGATTAAGTTACGTCCAGTACCATTTATTTTATGCATATTCAGAATGAAAAACTGATTAGGGAAATTCAAACAAAAGGCTCTGACATGTAAGACGCCTTAAAATGAAAGGCAAAAATAAGACTGTCATCAGGTATAAGAGTATATTGTATAAGGGCAGACCAATAGCTGTACAAAAAATGCTTATGTTACAAGGGTTCTTTGGCGCATTTATTTCGATTTTTCGTTAGTTTTGGATAACAATTTGTTATTTCGGATAGGAAAATTTGAACTGTTAAAAAAGAGGTGTGACGAATACTTTATATAGATATAAAAAGATGTGGTTGATGAGTTGATACACATTGTATTTGCTTCAATATGTAAAAGGGATAAGACACAAGTTGATCAAACTTATATAGTCTACTCCTGTGGTATGGGTGCTAATAAGACAACTCTCCATCCAAGTCACAACTATTAAAAGTAAACCATTTAAGGTCAAAGTACGGTCTTCAACATGGCGCTTTGACTCGCATCGAACAGCAAGCTATGAATGGCCCCAAAAATGACTAGCGAAAACCATTCAAACAGGAAAAACAACGGTCTAATCTATATAAAATCGAGAAACGAGAAACGCTCATGAACCACAACAACAATCTACAACCACTGAACATCAGGATTCTGACTTAGGAAAGGTGCAAATAAATGCAGCTTTAAAAAATCAAATAGGTACCAACCTTCATCCTTTCCTGAAACAATAGAGTAACATCTATTGATGGTACATATTATAACTAGAGACGAAATATAACACTAAATAAGTAAACATTAGGTTATAATAAAGCATTACAAATTGTATCAACAGGTCAAATTAACACAAAAGTACAATATCATATAGGCAATGATATTAGTAGGTTTTGCTAAGATTGATTCATGGACACGATTATTTATAAAAATAAAAGAGGTAGCATCACGACAATGAAAGACCCTCTATAAAATATCAATTGAAATGGCTTAACTCAATCAAAAGACATATTCACACAAATAAGTGAACATACACTGAACGAATAAATTTGGTGTACACTTATCAAAACTGGTACATATTAAAAAAAGAGACGAAATATAACACTAAATTAGTAAACATTAAATTATAATAAAGCAGTACCAATTGTATCAATAAGTTAACATGGTTAAGTTAACACGAAAGTACGATTTGAGAGGACTGGCAGTTACTGAAAGCTAGTTATATATTTATCAATTATGGACCTTTGACGAGGTCAATACGTTATATATGGACCTGTTCAGAATATATTTAAAAAGGACGAAGTCCGAGTGTCAATATAATCAAACAGGTCCATATATAACGTATTGACTGAGTCATTTATTTCTATATTACATATGTAAATAATGTATTAGGAAAATGACGTTCAATGTTCTTTCTGGGTATTTTTTTATTGAGTCTTAATTGTATTTTGCAAGAGATTTAACATGTTATTGAAAATACCATTTTATTTTAACAACTTCATAGCTTGATTCATTAGCATTCTTGTATTCTTATCGTCTGCATTTAACATAAAATTCTTGAAATCTCGTTCTGATAAACTTGCAAATTTTCTTTTCTGATGCGGCGCTTCCTCCGTGGTTGTTGTGTGTGACTTAATGACGTCATAAATCTAAATTTAGCAAGATTTTTCTTATATTGACCACCAATATACATATAAAAAGAAACATAGCGTCAATATACGTAAAAATAGAAACAAGGCGTCAGATACGTAAAATAACCTTTGAAACACGTTACCGGCATATCCAATGAAAACAGTAGAATGCTACACCATATGTAATATATATATATATATATATATTATACTTCTAAAATTCTTTTACAGATATGAAGTTGCTACTATTGACGTTAGAAATTGTTATGGTAAGAAACCTCTATAATAAATATAACAAAACTCAATGCAAGGTCTTGTAAGTTTTTAAGGATTGATTCTCTCTCGACATAGCATTTTGATTACAGTTTATAAGGTAGACGTATGGAGCTTATATTTCAGAATTCGTTGTTAACCTTTTAAAAGCTAGAGAAAACTGGAATTGTAGAAACTTTACCGTGAAAAGGTTACTTCTAAATAAGTATGAAAAAAAATCAAAACTTTAAGGTAAATAAAAAAAGGAGGAAAAGTCCATAAAACCGGGCAGAACATAACTGTTTATGAATAAATGTTGACCTTAGATGATTTCGGCTATTTTGTAAGGTCCCCTTTTGGTCTTATAAAGGCAACAGTAGTATACCCCTATTTGAAAGTCATATATCGATTGAGAGAAAACAAATCCGGGTTACAAACTAAAACTAAGGGAAACACATCTACTATAAGAGGAAAACAACGAAACAAAAGAAACAAGTGTATAATGACGCTTTATTTATGTTTGGCTTTATACATCGTTGACTTGGAAAGGGTAGGGTTTGAGCAATTTCATGAAGGTAAGTCCTGAAAACCGCTTCAAAAGCGCGAAATTAATATACACAGAATAAATGTTAATGTATAAAGAATAAAAAAAAAAAGAAAATAACACATTAGATTTATTACTAAAAGGAACCATAACAATATCCTAATTCTTAAAAGTCAACATTGCCTGAAGGAGTTGAAACTTCGATTTCTAGATAATTATCAATGCATTAACGATTAATTCGTAACAATTGATGTTATGAATCATGAGTTTACCGAGTGTAGCTCAAGTTATCCTCGGGAACAAACATCAATCTTCTAAGATATGTGGGCGAACGCAAGAGAAGGGTATCAAGTTTTGCTTGTCGTGTTGTGTCCGTCGTGTTTTTCATTCAAATGCAAATTATAAATCGAATTGGATAAGGTTATAATTAAGGAAGCTCAATAACGACAAATGGAACACATTCGTGATAATTTGTGACACTGTAATTACATATCTAAATCTTCTTTAATTAACGTATAACATACATCTACATATGTATATCTATGACACAGATAATGGATTTTCTTTAAATGTTGTCAGATAGAAGATGGCTACTTTGTATTCATAAAAAGAGAGTACAGATCATAATGGGGCAATCCAAAACATTAAGATGCATATTTCCACGTATATAGTTATATAAGCTTGGTTAGATAATGTACCATTTGTGGAAGATGGGAAAACAAAAGGAGTAATCCAATTCTAAATCTCGTAAATCCATTAATGATGTATGAAAACATGTACCAACTACGATACAAAGTAGTCATAAAACATTAAGATGCATATTTTCACATATATAGTTATATAAGCTTGGTTAGATGATGTACCATTTGTGGAAGATGGGATATAAAACAAAAGGAGTAATCCAATTTTAAATTCTCGTAAATCCATTAATGATGTATAAAAACATGTACCAACTACGATACAAAGTAGTCATAAAACATTAAGATGCATATTTTCACATATATAGTTATATAAGCTTGGTTAGATGATGTACCATTTGTGGAAGATGGGATATAAAACAAAAGGAGTAATCCAATTTTAAATTCTCGTAAATCCATTAATGATGTATAAAAACATGTACCAACTACGATACGAACCAAACATATCTTAAGATGAGGTTACAAAACTTTGCCTAATATTTTTTTCTTGCTTTTTAAAATGTTTTGTATGCATTCTGCTTCGTATGATATATTCTAAATAGTAATTGGAATACCGATTGTTGAATAAAATGTCAATACAACAAACTCCACAAATACATATGCTGTCGACCAGACGTTGTAGTTGTAATCAATGATGTTCTTCACAGCGCCAACGTTTTCATGACTTAAAACAAGAAGTTTGTATCTACCTTTATCCTTTAGTTGAAAAATTACTTTTTTAAAAGAAGCTGTTGTCGTTTTTACAATTTAGCACCTAAAAATACAAATCTTAAGGCCACAATGCAACGAGCAGGAGTTAAAAGACTATTAACATCTATGTAAAAAAGAGAATAGGTCAAAATAACTGCGTGTGGAGTTTTAGTCCTCGAGGGTGTCATCAACACTAAAGTCAATGCTTCGGTATTGTGATAATTCATAATATAACAAACATTTAATAAATTACCAAATATTCAGATACTATGGTTCCAACTCAATTTGGCAAACATTACCTTAACTGAATTTTATTATACATTTTACGTTTCTTTTTGTCATATAGCCCCTGTCGTTTCTATATTTTCTAGAAGACGTTTATGTCACCTAAATCTCTCACGAAGATGAAATTTAATCAAATGGAAATTGATAAAAACTGAGGGAATCACATAATCTACAAAAAGAGCGAGACCGTGCACGTGTATATTTCGAACTACAATCAAAACACAATTTTAGCATGCACATTGTCAAAAGTTGTTTCTTAAATCTAATAAACAACAGACAATTGTATGAATTGTAATTGCATTATATCAGAAATTGAAAACCTCCTGATGTCATTTTGCTTAAGGATGAAATCGGGCAACTTTCCATAAAATATCATATAAAAAACAGCTGTGTTTCACATGCATCAGGTTGATGTCAGAGAACAAAATAAAAAAAAATGCCGTCATTACGTTTCATATTCCACACAGTAGGATTGTAAAAATAGCTCAAGAATTTCAACAACGGTCATTAATATATTTAACACAGGTAGATTTTGTGATAAATACATTAAAAGCAGGTGAAAGCCTGTAATTGTAAAAACAAAACGAGAAATTTTCTGAAAGTTAGTACTTAAAAATAGAAAATCAATTTCCCATATCCTACTTTAGGTCATTAAATAGCATTGTGTCTGCGTCACCGGACACGTCGAGCAATGGGTCATCGGTATTTAATAATAACAAAATTATTTAAACAGTTGAACAAGACTTACATTTACAAGAAAGAGAAAAAGAAAACGCTTCAGATTATATCCAAGGTTTTAATTGTTTCAATTATCAATTCGATTTCAATTTACACATTAGTTCCAGTTATACGTATGGTTTTAAAGGACAAAAGAAATTTATCTGCAAAAAGAAATTATATCGCAATTTAACAAAAAACTTTGGGATAAAAATTTGTGTGCTAAGGATCGACCAATTCGAGGGTTGTATATTCGTTATTAACAAAACAAATGATTTTCAATGAATCAAAAACAACCCTCATCCCTATTGTAACCCTGGAGATTGATGTAACAGCACAATATAAGAATAATTTATACATATATACAGTTTAAAATTGAAAGGCTTATAACACCACTGTTTCCATGTATGGCGGGTGAGTATCGGGCAACAACAAGCATAGTTAACCCTGCAATATTCCGTATTTGCCTATCCAAAGTCAGGAGCCAGTAAAAGTATAACAACAGAAATAATGAACTCCGAGGAAAAGTTCAAACGGAAAACCCTTTGTCAAATTCGTAATCAAAAGCTCAAACACATCAAACGAATGGAAAACAAAATTTTTCTTAAAATGTCCTGTACCAAGTCAGAAATATGGCAGTTGTTATCAAATAATCCGTTTCTATGTATGTTGACGTTTGTTTTTGTAGCAGTTCAGTGTTTCTGTTGTTCCGCTGTTTTCCTCTTATAGTTGATGTGTTTCCCTCGGTTTTGGTTTGTGACCTGGATTTGTTTCAGTTAAATCGATTTATGACTATTGAACAGCGGTATACTTCTGTTGCAGTATCTGTCATATACCTAATTTGGTACAAGCTTTTCCTGTTATACAGAAGTTGACGTTTGTTGTTGTATATCATACTTGTATTTCGCTTATTGTTTTAAAAATAAATCCGTTAGTTTTCTTGTTTGAATTGTTTCACATTTGTCATACCGCGGCCGTTTAAAGCTCACTATGTAGTATTGGTTTTGCCTATTATTAAAAGTGATAAGGTGATTTTAAGATGCTAGTTCTTGCATCATTTGATATCTTGCAATCATTCCATATTTTCTTTGTTCTATATTGAATCATCAGACCGACACAAAGAATATAAACAGCCAACTAACATCAAAACTAAATACACAAAGTATCGATCTTAGAGTACTCCTAGTTGGTGAAGCTAGTTCTGAGTTAACAGCAACTAAACCATAAATCATATTTATCAGACTATTCTCAATCAGAACACATCTAATGGATTAGGTGAAAGAATGTTATAAACAGTCTGAGAAAAAAAATGACCTAAAGCAATGCACAAACATAAATATCGACAGAATGTAGGACAGTAAATAAACTCATCATAGATACCAGGATTGAAATTTTGTATTTGCGCCAGACGCGCGTTTCGTCTACAAAAGACTCATCAGTGACGCTCGAATAAAAACAGTGCTCATAACTGTATCGGAAAAATATCTATTTATGTTCTAATTTATCGATACCAAAATCAGTAATACAGATAGAAACATATTGCAAGATATTGTCACGGTATTAAATAAATACTTTTAAGAATGATATTTTTTCTTCACATGATCGATAAGATTACAAGGACATTATCTAAATTTACAGAATCCATAAACAAGATCACCATACAAATTAGGGTACGATATCCGTTTTGTAATAAGTTTTAAATATCGGTACAGCCAAACTTCAAAAAGAAATATTTGTATCAATAAAATACGTCTAAAGTTATTTATTGTAACAAAATCCCTGACTTATTATCCAGTCATGCGTTTTGATAAATTACTTTCATTGAAATCAATAAATTCACGTCAAACGCATGTTAAACCCGCCGCATTATGTTCAAGCAAGAAACCTGCAATTAGAATTTTAGTTTTTTGCTGTCTATCGTTTCTGATTTTTTAGTTCATTGTTATAGTATAAATCATTAGATTTCTCTTTTGAATCGTTTCAATGTGTTCTTACTGAAATATTTAATTTGTTTATGGACATATTTTACGCACTACACCTTTCAAATATTTATATAAGGAAATCACCAAATATCGAATATAAAACCATGTCTAGTAATCAGTAGTTAATTGATGTTTTGAGTTTCTGTTAATACTAATGATTTGTAAAAGTTATGTAGTCTTTAACTTTACTTTTTAGAAAGGTAACAGTTTACAAAACTTTGAATTGTTAAAAAAACTAAAGACGTTCTAACCCGGAAATAGATTACCTCACCTGTATTTGGCAAAACCTTTGGAAATGTTCAGGTCCGCAATGTTCTTCAACTTCGTATTTGATTTTTATTCTATTGTCTGTATTATTGTAAATATTATAAACCTTGTTTTTTTTATTTCAATTAAGCTATCTGGATATCTATTACCTTTTAATTCAACAATGTCATACATACCTTTAATTAGAATGCATCATCATTTCAGATTATTGTTCTTCGAGTCTCAGTTAGTATTTGTGGGTACGATCGACAATGTCCACATTCATCACAAAGGGGTTTTCGTATTCGTAGTGAATGCGGTGGTAATTCAACAGTGTACAATTGTTTATACAACACGAAAAACAAAACCTACATTGAGTTTTGTGAGAAAAATGAGGAAGCCAGAGCAGGTGTGTATTTATTTCAGTATAATTATATTAAAAGGTTTTGAACCTTCCATGGTTTGTGGCATTTCTGTATATCTATCTATATATTTTCTGCCAATATAGGCACACCTTCCGTTTGAAGTCAACAACTTCCGTTCACCAGTAGAATAGTTCTCTGGTTAGAGAGTTAGTAGTTCACTACTTGGTATAGGTTAATAATTACATGGATAAAGTCTACATCTATATTAATGTTTAGTAGTTCTAGCACTTTGATATCCTGTTCTCGTAAAGATATCAAAAGAGACACTCTTACAGGTTCTAATGCCGTACATGAGATCAGAACATGTGAAATAGTTTCATCCTCTTTGCAGTAGACTTAACAGGTGGCAGGTATCTCATTTTTTTTAAAATTTAGCTCCTTTTGTCTGCAAGATGTAATTACCAGTTGCAATTCTGGTCCTGATTGGTAATTTGATGATGTCTCTACAGTTTGAGGTATTTGTTGATAGGATTGGGTGTATTCTCCTTATCTTTTATTCTCCGGATATGTATTTTAGACTGAAGTATCTCCCAGAGTATTTATTTGTTTTGTCAGTCTAGTATGTATGTAATTTTCTTGTAATTAGGTTTTTCCATTGCAATTTTCCTAAAGGATTGTTTAAAAAAATCCTGGCATGCATATATCATATTTCAGACATATTTTCTTGATTTCAATAAACCAGCTATTACTTTGATGTGTTTTTAATTGTAGTTGTATTTCTGCCAGTCTCCATTCAATTGTAGATTTATCTGCTCATTAAATATTCCCAAATAAAAATAAAGTTTTTAGATGTAATTCAGCCTCTATAGGTAGGGATCAACTTAGTATATACATCGCAGGATCAGCTGTATTCCTGGATAATGATAATATTTGCTTTATCGTTTTCTTAAGGAATTGATGTATAGAATACAAAATATGGCCAGTTGGAAGTAAAATTCCACGGCCATAGATTACAATAGGCATGACATAAGTATTTAGAATTGTAATAGTAGTTTACGGATCCAAACCATTCTTTCCATGTAGGCCTGTTCCCATAAGACTATAAAGTGATATTCTGGCTTTTTTCATGTTCTCTTCAGCAGTGAGTTTTGTTGAGTTGTTCAGCCATTTTTGTATTCCAATGTGTGTGGAATGTTCTACAACTGACATCGGATTATTATTGATGTTCCAGAAGTTCTTCAATTTCAATAGATTTAGTTGAAGTATTAATAGGTAGGACCACACTTTTTGTTGGCTGCAACGTGTACCCCTCTCTCTTACTGAAGTTTCTATTAAAACAACATTTTGTTCGTATGACATTTACAACGAATAATGCAATAATAACTAATTCATCTTCGGTAATTACTTTCTTCATTGCCCAGTCATTTTGTAGATTATGGTTTTCCAACTGGCTCATGATGTTTATTATCTCAAAAGCCTATTGTGTTACCCCTTCCGAACATGAATTAACGAGCATTATATCGTATATGCACACATACCATATTTGTTCAAAACATATCGATTAACAAAAGAATGAAAATAAAACAAATTGAGCAAGATAACAAGAGCTATGGGTAAACAAACTTGAGCGATTTGTACGAATTTAGTCTTGCTAACCAATACTTGTCTTCTTTTAATTCACTGACAATGTATGTTTTGTTTTTTATTTTTTGTAGGCTTGAAATATGTTATCTCTGGGACGTTTAGAAATGTAAGGTGTTCTGAAGAGAGATATCAACCAATCACATTTTGGACAAACCGAAGCACTAATTGCTTATATTTAAAGTCACCGTGTACTGAAACTGGACAACTAGTGTTCGACAATACGTCAACTATCGGCGATTCTACTTGTCGATGTGATTACACAAGACATTATGCATTTGTATCACCACCACGAAATCCATGTTTCTGTATGCCGTCCGTGGAAGACTGCTCATGTTACATTAAACAGTGTCCCAAAAATACCACGTTATCACCTGGTAAGTCAGTATTTATGTTTTTGTCTTTTATTGTCGATATTGACGATTTGGTTATTAAAACCATTTTATAATTTATTAGGTAATTATGTCCATTCACACCATATGTAGCTTAGGTCTATTTCTTTGATAAAATCAATTAGTCTGGGCACTTTCGCGTCTTAGATTGTATAAAACTTCTAACTGGTACGAAGTGGGGAGCAAATAGTCATTCTCTTAGCAACATATATATTGCACTAATAAGATCAAAATATACTACGAATGTGAAGTATACAACTCCGCCTCACATTCTGTAAACAAAGATTCTAGACCGGGTGCGAAGTTAAGCACCTCGAATTTGTACAGGTGCATATAAAAATGTAGCCACTAGTGGAAGTAGAAATGGGTGACCCATCCTACGAAGAATGTAGGAAGTGTCTAATTATAATTTTTTTCTTGAATATATCATGATGATTATCATCCAACTAATGGAAGTCTAGCAAAAAACAACCATTCTTTGATACCCCAGGGAAATTTTAAACAGACTTGAAAACCGTATTTTTTTGTTTCAAAAGATATGATTACTCAGAATGATGTAGACATTAACCAAATATATAGATACAAACACCCACCCCCACCCCCCTTGGCATTTGTTTAAACCCCGTGTATGTTCACAACTTCTCAATGCTCATCTCGACGAAGGACCATCCACACTTATTTCAAAGTGAAAGTATCTTCATAAATTTTATGGACACCATCATGAATTGGTTGATCTATTCGATGTGTCTGTGTCTAAACTAACTAACGACATTTTTACCACGTCTTAGATTGTGGTTTAACATCAATGTCGTCTGTCTGCTAAGTACCGAACGTGACCTAATCCTGAATATGACTGTTTTGCAGAGTGTGAAAAAAATATGTATTGAACGATATTATTTTTTATACAACCAGATAGTCAAACTAGGTAGTAACATAATATTTGAGTGCACCCAAGCCACGTCAGAATTTTAGGAAATTAAATTGCAGACCAGACAACCGAACAGGTTCTTAATAAATGTACAATAGATTGTCGTATTCCCCAATATAAGGAAGACATCAAATGTTTAAAAAAAAACGTCTTAAAACAATATTGCAAATACAGTGATCGGACAACCCAAAGAGAACATTTGCTACACTAAATAATGTATCGTTTTATATTACTAATCCACAACTGAATAGAGAAAATGAACTATTTATATTCAGATTAAGATCTGGCTCTAATAATGTGAATAAATATCTTTACAAAATAGGTAAAAGTCCTAGTGAACTTTGTGAACTCTGTAAAGTCACAGACGATGTTGTAAACTTTCTATTAGTCTGCTCAAAATAGGATCCGCAAAGAAAACAGATGGCTGAAACGCTTAAAAGAGTGACAAAAGATACCAGAGGGATAGTCAAACTCATAGATCGAAAACAAACTGACAACGCCATGGCCAAAAATAAAAAGACAAACAGACAAATAATAGTACAGATGACACAACATAGAAAACTAAAGACTAAGCAACACGAACCCCATCAAAAACTGGGGTTCGTGTTGCTTAGTAAATTCAAGGAGTCATAGATCTCTCATCGAAACAACTTCTATCTGGATACACACATACTTTTGGTCCAGTGCATTCCTATTTACGGGAAACTAATACACTTATAAGAAAATAAGAAAGACTCTCAAATAAGTATCATCAATATATTCATTTGTATATACATCCTTTAGATAAGATAAATGTGTATTTGTAGCCTGTGAACATGATGAATCTAAAAACGTTTCTTTATAATTTAACAGTATATGCTAAAAAAAAACAGAAAAAGTAATAACAAAAGAAAATACAATATCACTTTCAGATTTTCACAAACTGATAATTACAGTCATATTATTAGAAAAAATAAGAAAAAACAAACAAACACAATACACTCAAATAATTCAGAATAGAAACTTGTGCTAAATCCTTTTCTATGACGGTGTCACTAAAATTTGTATCTTATATATGAGCTGCGTCGGATAGAAATCGACCTTATGCTAATGAATATCACTTCACCTGTTAAACTGTTTCGGGTTGAAAAAAATATCTATGCAAAGTCTGTAACTGTTTCAAAATTTAATTGATATAAGAACATTACAAAACAGACATAGATTCATCTTTTATTTTGTATTTGAATGTTCCCAAAGCAATAAAAATCTTATATATTAGCATGTATACGTGCACTTGCATAAGGTCGATTTCTATCCGACGGAGCTCATATATTAAATGGATATATATATCTAAATAGGCGACTACATGTGTAGGTAGGGATGATGTCTCTTTCAACGACAGAAATGATTTGTTTTCCTCGTCAGGGACGAAGGAATCACTAAACACCAGCATGTCTTTGGAATGTTATTCGGAACAATATACGCGACCGTTATGGAAAAGGAACGGCTACAAAATCCCATTCCTTACTAAAGGATTCTTTATCTGCTACATCAATCATTGGAGAAGACTATCTCTTCTCTTAATATACTACCGAAATTTACCCAATAGAACTTACTTTAATTAAATCTAACATAAACAGCAGTAGTTGTCCTTTTCTAGATTTGGACATTTTAATCTTTGAAGGAAAACTCCATACGAAAATTTACGACAATTGAGACGACTTTTCATTCCCTATTGTTAATTTTCCTTTTTTTAGACGGCGATGTTCCTTTGACTCCATCATACGGTGTTTATATATCCCAACTCGTTCGTTATGCCCGTGTGTGTAGTGATGTCATATATTTTAACGAACGTAATCAATGCATCACTGGTAAATTATTAAGTCAGGGATTTCGTTACCATAAATTACGTAAAACTTTTACTAAATTCTTTCATAGATACAAAGATTTGATTAGTGAATTTGGCTGTACCTGTAGAAAACTGATTAAAAACGGTATTTCACAGCCTAAATTTTACGGTAATATTGTACTTAAAGCGCGGAAATCACTATGTGATCCGTGTAAACTCATCGAACCTTTAAACAAACTTATAAGTAAAGGTTATCTTACCAATATGAATTAGATCTTTGAATATAGTTTACAATGGCATTTGTCATCAGCAAATTAAAACAACTAAATTTGTATTCTTTTCAAACGGGATGTATAAAGACACACCTGTTGCGGAGACGATTTGAATTGTGCAGTGGAATAAATTGTTCATATAAAGTTCGACGATAATGTTATACCAATAGCATTATTATATCCATAACATATAACTAACTCGAATGTTTGCTAATAACTACGTTTTAATCCAATATTTACAATATTTACAATCATTGCGTATAACAATTTCACAACATTGTTTTCGATGTTAACTTATCGCATGATAAAGACGAACTGTTTACGTCTGAACATTAGACATAAAATTTCACACTAATTTAACCTGATTTCCAGAGATGATCAAAACAAAGTAATTAAATCGCCACAGCTGCATTTGCAGACGACTATTATTTGAACTCTAAATGACTAGACTGACCTACTGAAGGTGTCATAAAATTTAGGTATCCCGTTAAGATTAACAATTAACTTTCTACACTGTAATAAATTCTTTGGAAAATATCGTTATCTTTAACTTATCTTAGCAGACGAAAATGTAACTTTATACCAACATAATTGTATTGAAAATTAACATAAAAATAAACTTTCAAAAATATAAGTGCAATTAATAAAAACCGATTTCTACTCTATTAAAAATCATAACTAAAAAACAATCATACTAATAAAAACTAAAAACTATTGTCTTCCATCCATTTTCCCCCTCTTGATTGGTCTAAGCCAATCAAACAAAACAATAATTAACCGATATAAAACTGTCTCTGAATTAAGTTCAAATTATCAAATCTAAAACTATTTCAAAATATTTAACTGTCTAGATTAAAATGAAACTATATGTCCACACTTCAATTATTTATCACTGTCATTTTCGGAGGTTTCGATGTCTAACGGACACAGTTTTGTTATCGGTCTTATTAATACAGTTTGTCCAAGTGAAACTTTTGCAACTCGAACATGTCCATCTTTTCCGGGGAAAACTTCGATTATTCTACCAAGCGGCCAATGTCCTCTCGGAACGTTCAGATTCATGACAAGCACAATATCATCGGTTTTCATGTCCCTTTTCGTTTTAGTCCACTTGTCACGTTTGTTTAGTCCCGGTAACCATTCTCTAATCCAACATTTCCAGAAATGTCTAATTAATTCCTGTATTCTTCTTTAGCGTTTTCTCGGGTTAAGATCAGTATTATCAACGGTTTCTGGAGCGAAATGACCACCTAATTGTCCGTGTAAGAAGTGATTCGGTGTTAAAGGTGTATCATCTTTCGGATCGGCTGACTGGTACGTAAGCGGTCTCGAATTGATCAGCGCTTCAGCTCCGGTAAATGCTGTTAAAAGTTCTTCATCATTAATGTCTGCATTTCTTAATATTGCATAAATAGCCTTTTTTGCGGATTTTATCATAGTTTCGTGAATACCACCTAAATGCGGTGCTAGCGGTGGAATACAATGCCACTTATTCCCTTGGTTACTTATTGAATTCTGTATTTTATCATTGTCTAAAAGCGCAACTAGTTCTTTCAGTTCTTGCTTTAGTCTGCAATTGTCAATAAATCTGTACACATACGCATGTACACGAACTAGTCTTACAAAACTTGAATAACGTACGGGATCTAAACGCCAATCTGAATCACTAGTGTGAATACTTTTCAGTGTAGTACAGTTAGTTAATTTATCGCTTGTTTTCTTTTGACACTTAAGTTCGGTATCACGTAAGTTTTCTATCTGAATATTAGTTTCCGGCCATTGCGGTTCTTCTTCTTGTAGAAATTCCGGTCCATTCCACCAAATTACGTCCGACTGTAATTGTATAATTTCCCTACCTCTAGATACTAAATCTGCTGGGTTAACTTTTGTTGGCACATGTCGCCATTGTTTAGGATGCAATGAAGTTTCTCCAATTCGCTACAAACGGCTTGTACTCTCTGCTCCTACCGCTTATCCAATACAAAACGTTCATACTGTCTGACCAGAATGTCATGTTATCCTCAGGTACTTCTAATGCGGGTTTAACTGAAAGTGCTAATCTTAATCCCAAAACTGCGGCCATCAACTCAAGTCGTGGAATGCTGACTGAAGTTAACGGAGAAACTCTCGATTTCGCTGCTATCAATCTCGAAGATATCGTTCCACTCTTATACTCGTGTCTAGCATATATAACTGAACCATAAGCCTCCTGAGAAGCGTCGCTGAATTTATGAAGACTCGTTGAAACAATGTCATCGTCTAACTGCAAACATCTCGGTATTTTAATACAACATAGTTCATCAAGTTCACGGAACCACTCTCTTGATTTGTCAACTAGTATTTCGTCTAACTGGTCGTCCTAGTCTAGTCCTGCTGTCCACATCTCTTGTAGTAGTAGTTTTCCTCTTATTGTGTACGGCGCAATAAATCCCAATGGGTTGAATAACGTAGCAACTTTGCTTAGAATGTTTCGTTTAGTAAATTTGAAATCATCTGCCGGTGGGTTAGCTTTAAACGTGAATATGTCATTGTCTGCCTGCCATATAACTCCTAGATTTTTTACGGACGGTAAATATCCCTCATCGAGATCGACTTGTGACGCACGATCTTCTTCTGGGATACATTGCAGAACTACCTTTGAATTCGAAAGCCATTTTCGTGCATACATTCCTGCTTTTTCCCATAACTGTGGTAGCTGATTATAAAGTTCGATGCCTTGTTCATCGTTGATTACAGAGTCCATGCTGTCGTCCATGTATGTAGATTTGAGAACTGTTTTGGCGGCTCGCGGATATGAATCTTTCGTCATTCCGGCATGTTTTCTAGAAACAAACTGAGCTTGAAATGGAGACGAATTTACTCCAAAAACAACACTATTGAATTCATATTCCTCTGGTACATATTCAGTTTTCATTGCGCGCCATAAAAATCTGTGAAACGGTCTGTCGTCTGGTGCAATTTTAATTCTCAAATACATTTCGGCTATGTCACAAACAAGTGCAACTGTATACTTTCTGAAGCGTAACAGTACATCAAATAAATCCTGTTGTAACTTTGGTCCTTGATGAATAGTGTCATTTAGCGAAATCCCCTTAAACTTTGCAGACGCTTCAAATACAATCCTCGTTTTAGTAGTTTCCTTGTCCGGTCTTATCACCGGGAAATGCGGCAAATACCATTTTCCTGCTACGGTCTCCTCCTTTGTCGACACTTTTCGAACATATCCTTTTTCAATGTATTTCTCTATGGTTTGTGTGTAATCTTTTGCAACACTCGGGTCTTTCTTTAATCTTTTTTCTGTGTTTTCTAATCTATGCAAAGCCATGTTGTAATTGTTCGGTAACAATGGTGTGTCGTCTTTCCACGGTACTTTAACTTCGTAGTGTCCATCCTTTAATTCCAAAGATTGCTCTACCTTAGACAACGCCTTTTGCTCATCACTGCTTAGAAATACGTTTCCGCTTGGTGTTTTGACATTTTCGATTTCCCAAAACTTCCTTACAATGTTATCTAAATCATTTCGATTCTCATGTCCACGAGCAAAATACGTTCGGTTAAATAGTGTCTGCTCCTGTCCGCTATTCGGATCGCAGATGAACGTCCAACCCAACGGTGTTAGTCTAGCAATTGGTTCTCCAGGTTTACCACGTATATCTCTATAAGAATAATGTAGATCCGGATAGTCCAGCCCGATCAACATATCAACGGTAGGTCTTTGTCCTAGATTCGGAAATTAAATCCCTGCAAGATGCTCCCATTTCCGAGCGTGTTGTTTCCATTCAACTGGTTGCAAACTTCCGGTTACACGGTTAGTAGTGAATGCTACTATATGGGCGTCTGTCTGACTATTATGACTTTGAAGTCTAACCTCGACTGGCATAGTTTTAAATGTTTCGACATTGTAATTTAACACATTAACTGTCACTTTCTGAACTTGTCCCTGCAGTCCCAATTCAGCGGCAACATCAGCGTTGATATACGTTTTCGTACTTGCGTCATCCAGTAATGCATTAACGTTTACGGTTCGGTTTCCATTTTTCAATATAACGGGCACTGTTCTCTCACGGCCGATCATTGTGCGATCCTGACTCTCCCCCTCAGTGGCGGCGGCTGTATCTTCCTTCTTTTCAGTAGCAAAGTTCTGTTTTGTTTTCGATTCGGTTCTCACTGGAACCTTCGGCTCACTGAACGATTGTTTGTCCCTATGTAAAAGTCTGTTGTGCACTTCTTTGCATCCACCCAAGTAACACGCTCTACTTCTCGGACACTGTCTTCCGACGTGATCAAGTCCTAAACAACGATAACACAACTGAAGTCGTTTTGCGGGATCCCATCTCTTGTGAACGGTTAATTTCCGAAATTCATCGCACCTCCAGACTCCATGATGACCGTTACAACATTTGCACAAATGTTTTATTGATTCCCTTTTTCCGATGTGGTCCTCATTTAGCGATTTTCCAAAAAATGTTCTAAATCCATCCCTACGATTTCCCTTATAATTTCGCTGTGAATTGCTACTAGTGTTTGCACTTAATCCATGTATTGTTTCTGATGCTATAGTTTGAAAACTCTGCTTTCTGTAAAATCCGCTCACGTAGACATTCAACTGACTCTATTTTTCCGCTTTCAAATTTCGAACGATGATGCCTCGACAACATAGATTCTGTCATCTTTCGCTGAAATTTGTTGTACAAAGAACCATTCTTTAACTCCTCAAAACGACCTGCTTCTTTCAAGTTCACAACTGCTATATCCAGTAAATCTACAAAATTTTCTATGTCTTTAGCGAATCCTTCTCTTATAGGTTTAAAATTTTCAAGTTCTTCGATATACAATGTTATTTGTCTTCTTTGTCCTTCATACTTTCTTTCTAAACGCTCCTTTGCAGCATCGTAAGCAACTGTTGAATGTCCTAAATTTTCTATAACTTGCAAAGCTTCACCTTCTACATATTTTCTCAGTTGTAATAATTTATATTCCTTTGTTGTCGGTGCTTGGTCAATACATGCTAAGAATGCAGCTTTCCAGCTCTGATAATTCCTTTTATTTCCTGTGAAAACCGGTATTGAAAATCTTTTCAACTGTTTCCGCATATCCTGTCCTAATTCTGAACTAAATTTCGTTTCATTTAATTGCTTGTCGTTATTTTCTTCTATCGTAGTTTGTTCAAATTCTGGTTTAACTTCCTTTTCTTTATTTATAGGTTTACTTTCCACTTTATTTCCGGAATTCACATTAGCTCGTTTCGATATTCTCGATACACTAGAACCATCGCTTGACTCAACCATACTCTCGATCAAATAATCACGACACTCATTTTCTACGTCCGTAAATTCCTCTTCCATTTTTTCCATCTCTTTTGTTGTTTTCTACACATTTAGAAAATCATTCTTGAACTTATATTCATCATAAATATTCCCCATAATATCCATCGCTTTTTCTTCTACATTTATCAGTTTCTCTTGAAATACTTTTATTTCTTCACGATCCGGAAAATCTTCTTCAAGAATTTGTAGTAATGAATGTCTAGTTTTTGTGAATGCCGATTTTGCTTTTGCTTTTTCCTTCTTCAGATCTTCTAATTGTAAACTTTCGTCCGGTTTAGCAATAACGGTTTCGTCCATTTTGTCTCCCTTGCTTGCCTCTGCTTCTATTTCCAAATCCCAATTACTCATTTTCTCACAATACGATTACGATTACAGTTCATTGAACCACGCTCTGCTACCATAATGTTGCGGAGATTATATGAATTGTGCAGTGGAATAAATTGTTCATATAAAGTTCGACGATTTGGGATTTGGGAGTTCGACGATAATGTTATACCAATAGCATTATTATATCCATAACATATAACTAACTCGAATGTTTGCTAATAACTACGCTTTAATCCAATATTTACAATATATACAATCATTGCGCATTACAATTTCACAACATTGTTTTCGATGTTAACTTATCGCATGATAAAGACGATTTGTTTACGTGTGAACATTAGACATAAAATTTCACACTAATTTAACCTGATTCCCAGAGATTATCAAAACAAAGCAATTAAATCGCCACAGCTGCATTTGCAGACGACTATTATTTGAACTCTAAATGACTAGACTGACCTACTGAAGGTGTCATAAAATTTAGGAATCCCGTTAAGATTAACAATTAACTTTCTACACTGTAATAAATTCTTTGGAAAATATCGTTATCTTTAACTAATCTTAGCAGACGAAAATGTAATTTTATTTCAACATAATTGTATTGAAAATTAAGGATAAAAATAAACTTACAAAAATATAAGTGTAATTAATAAAAACCGATTTCTACTCTATTAAAAATCATAACTAAAAAACAATCATACTAATAAAAACTAAAAACTATTGTCTTCAATCCAACACCCACGTTCATTTTGATCTATAAAGAGGTTAACTCCTAACTATCTTACTGCCTGTCGATATTTTTATTTTTGACATTGCACAAGTCATGTCTTCTTTGACTGTTCATGACGTTAAAATACTAAATCCCTGGTATGTGTTTTAGTTGATTTTAGTCTCTGATGCATGATTTTTATTATTAATTGTTTTTGGCTCTTAACTAGCTGTCAGTAACTGCGAGTACTCTCAAATCGTGCTTTCTTGTTTATGTGACGTGTTGATACTAATTGTACTGCTTTTTTGTTATTTAATGTTATTCAGGGTTATATCTGGTCTATATACCAGCTTTGATAAGTGTTTGGTATTACTATAAATTTTCACTTCGTACTATGTACATCAAAATTATTTATTTTGTAAAAATATTTCCTTTCTCTATTTGAACTGTACACGTATACCTAACAACAAAATTATTTCCATTTACCTATGATTAAAGTAATTGCAAATGGCTGATATTTTTGTTCAAGCATATTGTTTTTCTTAAATTGTTTAACATTTCATAGCGGTATAACATGTTACTTTTATTATTCTTCCCTTAGTTTATTTATTTTGTATTTACATTGTATCGTAGGTCAAATTTATTTGCTCAGTGTATGTTCACTGGTGTTAATATGTCCTTTGATTGAGTTAAGCTATTTCAGTTGATATTTTATAGTGTGTCTTTCTATGTTGTGATGTTACACTTTTGTTTCAGAAAAAGGGTGAAGGTTTGGTACCATTAAACGTTTAAACCCGCTGCATTTGTTTGCACCTGTCCTAAGTAAGGAATCTGATGTTCAGTAGTTGTCGTTTGTTGATGTGGTTCATAAGTGTTTCTCGTTTCTCGTTTCTCGTTTTTAATATAGATTAGACCGTTGGTTTTCCCGTTTGAATGGTTTTACACTAGTATTTTTTTGGGCCCTTTATAGCTTGCTGTTCGGTGTGAGCCAAGTCCGTACTTTGACCTATAATGGTTTACTTTTATAAATTTTGACTTGGATGGAAAGTTGTCTCATTGGCACTCATTCCACATCATTTTATATCTATTTAACTAGCACATGCCTTGTTCTATGTTTCAAAATATACTTTTTTTATAGGTTTATCACAAACAACACAAAGGTGAACCACCTGATTAAATTTCTAAGCAATATTATGATACCTATCAGTTAATAATTTACATTTCATTAAGAACTTTTATTTGTTTTTTCAACAATTAAAAACCCCAATATTGCAGTATTCTTTTTATATATATTAAAAATGAAAGATTACCTAATGAAAACTGTATAACAATTTAAATATTTTACCTTAAGTTTAACTTTATAGAAACCAGGTATATCCTTAATTGTACATGTATCAGCTTCTACATGCCAATTTTCAACATACCTTTAAAGCCTTCTAAGAAAAAAACTGACCTTCGAATAGGGGTACTCCAAAAATAACCTCTGGTTTTCTGGAAATCTTAAATTAGTATACTATAGAGCGCATTAATCGTCAATTTTTAATGCAAACTCATAGACAAGTAATATTTGGCTCAAATTGGTCTAAATATATTTCTCTTTCACCAAAAGTTTCATTTCTGCAAATTTGTTGGTGAGTTTAAGTAAACAAGGACATCAAAAGCACTATTTTGTATCAGAGTAGGGCTACTTTTACATACGTTCTAAATAGAGGGAGTAATTGGTGGTCTGACACCTACTACAACAACGAAAAACAATTATGAATTATTGCAGATGGCAACCAACAACAATTACTGTTTTCGAGGCTTCTGGCTCTGGACAGACACAAACAGAATTCATCGGCATTAAACGCTTTCCTAACCTGAGACAATGATGTAACAAAAACAACATTTATTTAACAGACCATCTTGCTCCGAATTACACCAATGCTATAACTTATATGACATCGCAAAGTAGAGAACTTGGAATGTGTCCAATTTTAATAATTTATCTCACTATATGAGGCACTTCTATTGTGATTTGCTTTTTTATCTATTATTATGGAAGATCCCTAACTTACTCATCAACTGTTACGGTTCTTATACATTTTCGGTTTTCAAATATTCGGCTTTGAGCATTCCTGATAAAGGCAAATCCAGAAAAGCGGTTCGGTCGCATGAAATGAGGTCCTTCCACTTTTCTGTGGAAAGACCTATTGTATTTGTTCTAATTATTAGGTCTTTCCACTTTTCTGTGGAAAGACCTATTGATTTTCATCTGATTATTAGGTCTTTCCACTTTTCTATGGAAAGACCTATTTATTTTCTTCTGATTATTATTAGGTCTTTCCACTTTTCTGTGGAAAGACCTATTGATTTTCTTCTGATTATTATTAGGTCTTTCCACTTTTCCGTGGAAAGACCTATTGCTTTTGTTCTGATTATTAGGTCTTTCCACTTTTCCGTGGAAAGACCTATTTCTTTTGTTCTGACTATTATTTTTTTTCTTCCGCCTAATTTTTTTCCTCCGCTGTTTTGTTGTTTCGCAAGATGTTGCTTAGATATTTGGAATATGATATCGAACAGTTATTACGCTTTTGAAACTGACACTGCGTAACCGAATACTTTTCCATATACGAGTTATCTCCCCGAACTCTGTTTTTCTTGTTATTTCTAAAACTTTGCAACCGTACAAGAAACCGACAAATTTATTTTTCCAAATTGCTCGTTATATCCTCAGGATGTTTCGTTTAATTTTGACCGAAGCCGTTTAGAGATTCCATATGATATTATTTTCCCATTTGTATTTGATATAAGTAAAATGTATATGTAACTGGAAAACCATAAGTGATAGAGGGTCTTTTGATTTGAGGTCCTTGGTCCATAAAAATGAAAATGAGGTCAAGGTCATGTTCAAAATTTTGATTTTGGCTTATCACTAATTTTCAGAAATCTTGTAAGATATCGACAAAATATTTTTACAGAATTGTTAGTTGCGACATGTCGTAACACATAATTTTAGTTGAAAGGGAACGTAGACATTTAATGGGAGTTTACCCCCCTTTTATATCTAATATTAGTAGTATGGTAATATAACTCATTAACAATATATAGTAGATGCCAAGAGTCTTTTGATTTGAGACCCTTGTTTCCTGACCTTGAATTTGATTTGACGTTCTAGATTTTAACCTTTACTTTAACACTAAAGTTGGTGCATTAAGTTGCAAGTCATATGACCTTTTGTAAACCGAAAGTAGCCATTCTTGTACTCATTTAATGTAAAAGTACATAGAACCATATATTTTTGGAATCAGTGTCAAGTAAACTATCAGATGAGACCGAATTTGACATTTTTTAACCATGTATCTATAAATTCAACGTACAATAAGCTATCATTTGGCACTGAAAATTACATTTCTAACCGAATTTTATTATTTTTAACATCAAAATATATTGTATCGGGTGGAAAGACCTTTAATTGTTCTCTGAACAATTCGAGATTTTTTTTCTTCTTCTTCCGCCACATCATTTCTTGCGTATAAATTTTGTTTCGCAAGATGTCGCTTAGATGTTTGGTATACGATATCGAACAGTTTCTGCGCGCCTTTGAAATTGACCCTGCTTAACCGAATACTTTTCTTTGCAGGCGTTATCTCCTCGAACACTGTTTTCCTTGTGAGTGCATCTCCTCCGTAACTGTAAAAGCAAGCGACAGATTTATTTTACCAAATTGCTTGTTATATCCTCAGGATGTTTTGTCCAATATTGACCGAAGTTATACGAAAACTCCATATGAGAGTTAATTCCTTTTCTGTATTTGACATAAGGGATATACAAATGTATAGCATGAATGGTAAGTGATAGAGACCTAAGGTATATTGTTTTGAGGTCCTTGGTTCAGTTAAATGAAATTGAGGCCAAGGTCAAAGGTCAAGGTCATATTCTAATTTTTTTTCTTTTCCTTGTTTTATGATCTCCTCTGTCACTTTTAAAGATATATATATAAAAGAACTAGTGCAAAATGTTTGGCTTATTGTGATTAAGATATGATACATTTGGTCTGAAACAATCCAATGACATCTTATAGGAGTTATTGTCCTCGAAATGATTCAATTTAAGGTTAATTGATTATTACTCCAACTTGGTACATGATAAAGCCATAGGGTCTTTTGCAAACTGTTGGTTGACATATGACCATGAAAAATACCTACCGGAAGTAACCTTGAGTAAACCGGAAGTAGCCTTTTTTGTACTTATTTCATGGAAAAGTACCTAGAAACTATATATTTTTTTAAATATGCATACATAAACCTATCATTTCAGACCGAAAGTGACCTTCACTAAACCGGAAGTACCTTATATCTCCCTCAACCTAATCTTTAACTGGATTTTAATATTTTCATATCAAAATATATCGTTTTGGGTGGAAAGACCTTCAAGTATTCTCTGAACAATTGGTTTTCAATTATTAGGTCTATCCACTTTTCTGTGGAAAGACCTTTTGTATTTGTTCTGATTATTATTAGGTCTTTCACTTTTCTGTAGAAAGACCTATTGGTTTTCTTCTGATTATTAGGTCTTTCCACTTTTCGGTGGAAAGACCTATTGTATTTGTTCTGATTATTATTATTAGGTCTTTCCACTTTTCTGTGGACAGACCTATTGTATTTGTTCTGATTATTATTATTATTAGGTCTTTCCACTTTTCTGTGGAAAGACCTATTGTATTTGTTCTGATTATTAGGTCTTTCCACTTTTCCGTGGAAAGACCTATTGGTTTTGTTCTGAGATTTTATTTTTTTCTTCCGCCACATTTTGTTCTTGCGTAGTATTGTGGTTTTGCAAGATGTCGCTTAGATTTTTCGCATATGATATCAAACAGTTATTGCGCTTTTGGAACTGACCCTGTAAAACCGTACACTTTACGTTGTAAGAGTTATCTCCCCGAACACTGTTTTTCTTGTGTCCACTACTCCTTTGCAACCGTAAAAGATTACGACAAATTTATTTTACCAAAATGCTTCCTATATCTTCAAGATGATGAGTCGGATTGCACCAA